CTTTGAGAAGGTCATTGAAGGTCAAAAGTCAAATCTAAAGTCAGATTTGAATTTCTGAGAACACGTAGATGATTTTGAAATTTTTTTTAGTCAATTTGAAGCAAGTTGAAAACAGACCTTTTTGACCTTTTTTGACCTTGAGAAGGTCATTAAAGGTCAAATGTCAAATCTAAAGTCAGATTTGAATTTCTGAGAACATGTAGATGATTTTGAAAAAAAAAATTAGTCAATTTGAAGCAAGTTGAAAACAGACCTTTTTGACCTTTTTTGACCTTGAGAAGGTCATTGAAGGTCAAATGTCAAATCTTAAGTCAAATCTTAAGTCAGATTTGAATTTCTGAGAACACGTAGATGATTTTGAAAAAAAAATTTAGTCAATTTGAAGCAAGTTGAAAACAGACCTTTTTTACCTTTTTTGACCTTGAGAAGGTCATTGAAGGTCAAATGTCAAATCTAAAGTCAGATTTGAATTTCTGAGAACATGTAGATGATTTTGAAAAAAAAATTTAGTCAATTTGAAGCAAGTTGAAAAAAGACCTTTTTGACCTTTTTTGACTTTGAGAAGGTCATTGAAGGTCAAATGTCAAATCTTAAGTCAAATCTAAAGTCAGATTTGAATTTCTGAGAACACGTAGATGATTTTGAAAATTTTTTTTAGTCAATTTGAAGCAAGTTGAAAACAGACCTTTTTGACCTTTTTTGACCTTAAGAAGGTCATTGAAGGTCAAATGTCAAATCTTAAGTCAGATTTGAATTTCTGAGAACACGTAGATGATTTTGAAAAAAAAATTTAGTCAATTTGAAGCAAGTTGAAAACAGACCTTTTTGACCTTTTTTGACCTTGAGAAGGTCATTGAAGGTCAAATGTCAAATCTAAAGTCAGATTTGAAGGTCAAATGTCAAATCTAAAGTCAGATTTGAATTTCTGAGAACATGTAGATGATTTTGAAAAAAAATTTAGTCAATGTGAAGCAAGTTGAAAAAAGACCTTTTTGACCTTGAGAAGGTCATTGAAGGTCAAATGTCAAATCTAAAGTCAGATTTGAACTTCTGAGAACATGTAGATGATTTAGAAAAAAATTGAAGTCAGTCTAAACAGTATTTGTTAAGTTATAGGAAGTTGTAAGAAATTGTTACAGACGCCAACCGCCGGACGCCAACCACCAACCACCAACCGCCGGACGCCGTCGCAAAAAAACGGAGACCATAACAATATGTCACCACTTTTGGTGGTGACATAAAAATGCTGTTTTCTCCCGGTGTTTCCTCGACAGTTCACCTCTTGTACTGTAAATTTTCTTTGGGCTCTCTCATCGATGTGCTTAACTTCTCACTTGTGAGGAAAATATTATGCAAAAGACATGTATCTCGTCACGTGAAAAATTCTAAAATCAGCATTGAAATCTAATGGGCAATAGATTTGGAAGTGAATTCTGTGATGTCCCTAGTTCAACAAGTTAAACCCAATACCACGGCTTTCATTTTTTAATCTGAATGTTCGTGTTGCCGTGGTTGGGTTTAACTTCCGTGCTATGCTTTCGTTTGTTGCAAATTCCCACCATCAGTTATTAATTAAACGCGCATCGAATTCCATGCGGAACCATAGGCCACCATTAAATTTTTTTGCATCAAGGGCTGAATAGGCACGGAAGTTAAACCTAGGGCGGGCCACAAGATATGTCAGATAAGAAATAAGGCCCAGACTAGGTTTAACTTGTTGAACTATGATGTCCCTGGCCTGATGTCCCTGCATTCACGATAAACTGCGTCAAGATGTGCTGATCTAGACAGAAACAAGATCCTTTTTCATCCCCAGGTCTTCATCATACTTTTTGCCATCATAAAATGGGATTCCCTGTATTCTCGTGACTATAGCAAAACCAATACAAGTGATTAATATCATTAAACATTGATGATTGAGCGATGGGCAAGCCCAAGAATTCTAGAAGAAATTGTGTACATAATTTCCGGACCCCAGATAGGATATAGTCTAGGGGACACCTAGGTGGTATTTAGTAACACCCATGGAAAAGATAAAAGTCAGTACGAGCGTCATATTTTTGGGTGGTCATGTTTTGGATGTACCATTTTTGGTTGGTGTCTGATCCTCTCATTTATTCTTTGAGCCTACTACCAATAGGGGGTGAATCTGGCTCCGGATCTGTGTGTGTTGTAGATCTAGACGTTCGTTCGAATATTTCGAGATAGATCTAGCCATAGGCAAAGGCCGATAGGAATAATTTTTAAATAAAGATGGCATGGTGGTCGATCTTTGTTTATTTATAAATATTCTCTTCAGGTAATCAACGGGAGCCGAAGTGGTACTTTTAAAATCCACATTTCGCCACTAAATGCCCATCGTTCTTGTTAAACAGCCCTACTGTTTGATAAAAGACATATCCATATACATACCAAGTGTGTAGTGTCGATCAAACACTAACTGAAATAGGCATAATATGCCTAAGAACAGCAAAGTTGCGGTTTGCGAAATTGGCCATGGCAGATTTCCGGAAGTAGTAATTATTCACTTCTCTCTTCGATTAGATGTTTATTCTCAAACATCAACAAACGATCTGAAATGATTTTTTCGTATTTTTAGAAAGTTTTTAGAATGGTATGCTATTTTTAACTCCGTCATGCCTAATCGATCATATATGATCGATTTATGACGTCACCCGATAAAGAAAAATCTTACCAAAATATAATTGCATCTTTCCACGCTATTTCCCTATAATTGTTATATAAAGTTGTGAAATAAATATAAATACATTCATAGAATACTGCTTTGTTCACTTATTTTGACCAATTTTGTTGTTATTTACCCAAAAAATAATGCAAAAGAAAAAATTTAAATATTTTTGAAATTATTGATTTCCGGTTCGACCAAGAGGCTGAACCGCGAAATTTAAAATATAATTATTGAAATATCAAGCCATCTAGGGGCAACAGATGCACTTTCTGAAACTAGTTTCAAGTATTATAATACTAGGGGTATCAGCGAACGTAGATAAGATGAGCTAGATTGATACAAAAGGTAAGAATATGTTCGTTTTCATTCAAGTTAATCAAGGCCCGATTTCTGAGAAAAATTCAATTTTCAATCTAAAAATATTTTCTCAATATCCATGCTTTGTGAGATCAGTTCATCAATATTTCCTATTGAAACACATATATAGGGTGTAAAGAGTTACTATATTGTTAATTTTACTACCTTTATGCACCTACAAAACCTTGAATGGCAGATGAATTCACTCTGTTAATTTTTATGGCCGATTTTATAGTGGGCGATAATAGGTGAAAAGCTTTATTTTTTCACTATTTTTCGTCTTTCCTCACTTTTATAGCTACTGTAAGATGTCATGGCACATTAAAATCTTGTTGCAAGGTGTGTAGGACAATCAACGCAAATATATTTTGAAAAATGTTGAGTAGTATAGGGAGGGGGGCATAGGAATTCAGGGGGGAGCATAGGGATTCAGGGGGGGGGGGGTGTATCAGAAGCCTTTGTTGGGGAAACCCATGGAAGGCCAAGCAGTTTGAGGATTAATTGCATGTTCATGATCTATCTGGTTTATTAGCAATCAAACATAATGAGTTCATGAACAAACATACATTCACAAGCAGAAATTTGCTTTTAACACACATCTATTATTTCTTCAAAACATTGTAGAGTCATGATTTTCATCGATTTGTCAAATATCAGTACCTTATCACAGATCGTCTTTGGTTTATTCTAGTGAGTCGTGACAGTATATTCTTTTTCTATGCTTCATGTAGTTTATCATTTTAAAGCTGTTATGAAACAGAACTGGGTTATTAAACATTTATCAACTGAATCTCGGGTAATAAAAATTATTTATTCCTGAATATGGAATTTAGTTGACGGAACAAACCGTTCTTGCGTCATCTTATGACATCGCTATATTTTCATAATATATGCAAATTAGGCAAAAACAGTATATGAGCAATCCCCCTGAGTATGGCCTATAATATATAATAAAAATTATTCAAGTTAAAAGTTTATTTGTTATAGATTACATATTTCAATTAAACATTTCGACATAATTTTCCAAGTTTTCCACGATTCCTGGAATTTTTGGCTCGGCATCGCAAACTTTAGCATAATCTAGTTACACCAAATCTTCCTTATACCCATCATGTAATATACCATTTTAAAGCTTAAATCAAGGAGAACAAATCAATGTTTCTCAAAATAGCAATAATTGAACAGTATTTGAGAAAAACTGTATTGACTGTAGAGATATGACTCAATTTAATGAAAGAAAGTGCTCAATTTCAGCCTTGTGACGTCACTATGACATCATTATTTTTGCATAATTTATGCAAATTAGGTAAAAATGAGAACTATGGGTAATTCTCTTCATTTTGATATATGACAGTCATATATTTGTATAATATTGAATAAAAAGCATTTAAATTAATATTTAATGCACATTTCACCAATTTTAACCACTTTAAGGATCAGGCGTTAAGGAGTTAAGGCTTCGCTAAAAATCGGTAAGTACCAATTGTATGCTTTGCGCATGCGCAGAATCAATAAACACTTGATTCCTGCCATGGCCAATTTCGCAAAGCGGGACAGTGCCGTTTAATGACATGTCAGGCCGTCAGTATGTCATTACATATCGATTTTATGTGCTAGGTATTTCAATCCATATGTTTTCTTTATATCTAGTTATATTTTTCACATTGGAAATAGCGTTAAGTCGACATAATTTGGAATTCAAAAACTATATCAACAACTCGTTGAGCACCTGAGAGAAAAAGATAATACTGGATTCTGTTGGTGCTGCCATCTTTATATCGGCCCAGAACCTATGGATCTAGCCTAGGCCTAAAAAACTGGAGTCTTGTGAAAATCACATCAATAATAAACCACAATTCATTTCATATTCAACATTGTATATCCATCAAAGAACCAAGTGTTCTCAACATATATAATTTCCTGATTCAAATTACTCTGAATAATTGGTACATACCTTGTTGATTCTACAGGAATGGACAAATGAAAGCCTTCTCTACGATTTGTTTTTCAGCATGGAAAATATCTGGGTCAAGGTTACTACAGTCTCAAACGCAAAGTATATTTGTTTATTGTAAAATATGTCAGCATTAATAACAAAGTTTTTCAATTTTTGAAATAAATAATGATATTTGCTACCTTTGAGTAGTAAATATTTATATTTCAATGGTTAAAATCAAAGGGAAATAGGTAGTCTAGTCTAATGATTTTTCTGCCAGAGACCGGAAGTAAAACATGTGAAATTATTTATTTTTTTATTTTTACCAATCTTCTTCATATTTCTCCACTACACTAGGATAAAATGTCAGCCTCACTGGTCCGAAAAGGACTTGAACTATTCAAAGATGATTTGATGACGGAAAAAGGTAAGATTTATCCTAAAGTTCAGCTGGAAAGTAACATTATGGTAAAAAATTGCACCACATGTTATTTTCTGGTACAACCTGACACGGACCTCTGCCAGATTACCTCCTCTGTGCCTAGGCTCAATAAATATACTCAAGGACAAGACACGCGATCTTCGAAAAATATATTTTTCTTGATTTTGGATTCAGTTTATCAATAAATATCACATGTCATACCTCAAACGATGCGTACTGTTGTTAGCTTCAACTCCAATCACTAAAGCCACACATCCAAGAAAGCGTCTGTTGATAAAAGCATAAAATAAGCGAGCATATATTTAATGGAGCGCTTCGGCTATCTCCGTTGTTCAAATCATTATTCCCGAAGTCAGATGCCTTTTCTGAGAATGTGACGTCACTCCGGATGACGTCACATCAGAGATTACCGAGAAGTCCCATGACGTTTCTTTAAACTCCCGGAGAGAAATAAAAACGGTTTGTTAGGCAACGCGATCCTTTACTTTCATTGGCTGTTTGTTGCGATATGACGTAATTTGAGAGACGAACAACATCGGACACTGCTGGAAATAACCGAAGTGCTCCATTATCTTTACGCTCTGAAAATTTGAAATATATGTCCCGGGAAAAGTCGAATTACAGTGTCAATAATGGATATCATGCAACCATTCAAACTAATACATAAAGAAGAGATTACAGGGTAAATATTGATCAATCAATGTCTGACAGATGGAAAAAATAAAGGTCAGTACGAGGGTCATATTTTTGGGTGGTCATTTTTTTGATGTAGCATTTTTGGATCGTGGCATATCTTCCCATTTATCCTTTGAGCTTACAACCAATAGGGGCTGAATCTGGCTCTGGATCTGTGCAACCTTACTATATTTGCACATAGCCATCTTTAGATAGATGGCTATGGAAATCTTGATACTCCAAGTCCTTTATGAAGGTCTTTTGTAAAAATGTAAGAAATCTTGGAAACATTTACCCTACTTCAATCGATGCATAACATTCTAAAGTATCGTTTTTCTTACCATATCGGGCTATCCAGAGTCGGGAGACAGTGTAATTGAAGTACATGTAGGGTAAATGTTTCCAAGATTTCTTCATTTTTACAAAATACCTTTATAAAGGACTTGGAATATCAAGATTTGCATAGCCATCTATCTAAAAATGGCTATGTGCCAATATAGTAAGTACATGTACAACCTAAACATGATGAAATAACCTTTTCAGCCCTCTGAAAATGTGACTGAAAAATAGCTAAAAGTAGGAGGTAGGAAAGGTCACTGAAAACTCACTTATAAAGGTGCCATGATACTTAACAGGAAGTGACAAAAAATTTTGCATTTTTAGACATTTTTTGAACAAAGATATCAGAGTTCTGTTTTGACCTCCAGTTAATCATGTTAATTCAACTAGTTCCACATACCATTTACAGGTAAAGGATCACAATGTTCATGGTCAGAATGACCCTAAACATGATGAAATAACCTTTTTCAGCCCTCTGAAAATGTGACTGAAAAATAGCTAAAAGTAGGAGGCATGAAAGGTCACTGAATGTGGCCAATATATTTCTCTTAATGATACAATCTTTGTAAATTTGATATCATTTATAGAAAAAGAAGAAAAATGAAAAAATTGATTTGAAAAGCGATCTATTTTCCTTTTTATGATCGCCATTTTTGTTTCAGACAATTTTCTCAAATTTGCAGGTATCCTGCATTGTAAAAGCCATGTCACTCTCAAGAGTAGTTGTATGAAATAATTTTGTTACAAAAATCAGCAAAAATTACATCCATTTTTTTGGCCATTTTAGCCATCATTCACTCTTGAGCAACACCATGAGCCCAGTACTCACGGTACTATTTATTTTCATTTATTTATCCTGTTGTGAGAAATTCTAGTGAAACGCCTGGTATGTAAACCTTAGGGATAACAACTGGAATGATTATTGGATGATTTTTTTTTCTAAATTCTTTGTTTGTGTTGGTATATCTTACCCCTTTAAATTTCAATTTGGAAACTGCACTATGCATTCATTACAGAAAATACAGTATTTGTATTAGAAATCCGTTTTTAAAACACAACATATGTAGTTTTTAGATAAATAAAGGCTATGCATTGATTGTCAGAGATTGAGAGATTGATATTTGGGATTTGTTATTTGACAAGAGACAGATATAATTAATAATAAACTGTTAATTCACAATGGAGTTGCCATTCCAGTTGATTTCATTCCAAGAAAATAACACCGAACCTTCTCAAGGAGACTGTGTTGGTTAAAAGAGGTAAGAGAGGTCACTTTAAGAAGAGAATTCATCTTTGAACTTTGGATTCACTAAGATTTATACCTATGTTTGTTTTTCAGAGAGAGAGAAAGCAAAGAAAAGGAAAAAGAAATCACTGGAAGATCCAATGAAATTAATCAGTACCAAAAAATCAGGTGTTGCCAAGCAACTACGACACCTTAAGCAACAACATGCAAAGAAACAACAAACAACAGTTAAAGACAAACATATAAAATCTGCAATAGGTATGGCATTTAAAAAATTATGCAGAAAAGCTTTGACTAAAAAAGCCCTGAATTAAAGTTAAGTGTACCGGTATGTCATTCATCTTGTTATTCAGGAAGAAAATTCAATTAAAACATGAAAGTATCTCTATGAGAGTCAAATATTTGTGCTGTCAAGGTAATATTTAAGCTGCTAGCTGTTAATAGTATAGCTTCAGATTAGAATAGCAATCATTGTTGCTCTGGCACATCATAGCAATATTTTTGGCTGGTATGGCAGTACTGCCAGCTACTCTACAGCGATACTGTTACTAATTATATTTTTATTTTATATATTTCAGAGGAGTATAAAAGGAAGCGTAACTATGACAGTACTGCAGATAATCTGTATTATATGACCAAATTAAAGGATCCAACACATTCTAAAGCTTCAGAAACTGTAAGTTATTTAAATTTAAGCTCTGTTGAGCCTTGGGAGGCTAACATAAGTATGTACTGTAGTGATTAAAGCATTTTTTTTTTTAAATCATTTTATTTAGCCTAGGGTTTACAGTTTACACTATTACATCCCCTAGGATTAATTAAAGCATTAAAGCAAGTACGTGCAGCACCCACCTGTGATTTTGAAAATAGGCTTACACCCACCTGAAAATCGATTTGCACCCACTTGAAAATGAGAAAAATCATGTTAAATGGGCATATTCTGACTAATTTTGGTCTGAATTATGAGAATGAGAATTTTGTACCTACTTAGTCTATTGTGTCACAAATCTGTTTTCAAAATTTGGTAATATACATGTAGATGCATTAGCTGCATGTTCCCAGATGAATTTAAGTCTGATGCTAAATAATAAGTTGATCAGCATAATGTTATAACAGGAATCAAGTACTGTGTAATTTAGGATGTAACACTCCTGTAATAAAACATAGATCACTGTTATTATACTGCTATATAACTACCTATACTTTTGCACACACATTCATTTCTCACACAATAATCAGATAGAATTAAACATAGAGAAGATGATGTTAATTGTAAATATAGACTCGTATAGATGGAAGAAGTTGTATATTAGTTCATATTGTTGAATTTGGTCATCAGTTTTTAGCAATACTACATGCAGGTATGCAGTACAGTTATAATATTGTATAAAACTGGAATGTGCACATTTGCTTTTATTTTCTTCAAATGTGATTGCAAAAATTACCTCTCATTTTGAGAAATTATATTGTTTACACATTTTGTTGTCTAGAGATGTAATGGAATCCGAATCACTGTATTGATTTCAAAGCATACTTATTTCATATTTTAGATAATTTTAAATCAATAAATTATCCATATTGTTTTTTCAGATATATAACCATAAGAGGAAGAAACCGATAGAAAAGTCTCAAGACAGTGGGAAGTCTGAGAGGACATTATTCACTGACAGAGACTTTGACACTTTTGAAAAGGAATATGATTTCTTTGCAACCTGATAGGAAGTAAAAGGCATTCTCAGGGGTGACAGCTACTATAACATTGAACCTAAGTATTGTATAGACAACTGAATCCACATTATAATGATATTGTATTACTTGTATATTGTAGATCATTGACATGAAAATATCATATAACTGTCCTCTGAGACTCTTGAGAACACATTCATTTTAAATACCATATAAATTATGTACCTATTATATATAATAAACTAATTGGTAAATGCTGCATTGACGTATGTATCAATGCGTTTGTATGACATATGATGCATATGCCATCCTACACAGACTGAGCATGCAAAAAACAGTTGGTATGGAAACATGAGCGCTCTTTGCGGAACCAATAGTCATTTTTAGATTTGTATGTGATGCTTTATTAACCAAGTACTGTTAATGAGTTTTAAGTTCAATTTATATATGTGTCATGTATGTATTTCACACCTTTTGAAAGGGAAATTATGGAAATAGTTGTGTACTTCATTCTAGAGAGATGCAGGATGCATTAAACTTCTGCACCAATGGTTTTCCGTGCTCTCAGTCTGCACAGGGTGTATATGGGATCTAGGATTTACCACATTGTGGTATATTATGTATTAAATTATGAACGCCAATGTATGGCACAGATTTCAAATAGTATTTGTAATCATCATTAGGAAAATAAACAAACTTATAAATAACCCTTTATTGTTAGAAATTGTACTTTAAAGATGACAATAGTCTTACAGGCATGACAGGCAAGACTGGAGTATATTCAGGAACTGGTTAAATGTCACATGGTAATTTAGTTGGCTTGAAGTAAAACGTGTAAACGCCGAATTCTTGACTGATATTGGCTCAAATTTATTTCTCTGAACAAATAAAGTGACATTTGTTTTCTCGAGAGAATGACAAGCATTTTATGATATCCCTACCCTTGACACGATTTCGTGGCATAATTTATAGCCACCATTTCCTTGTGACAGGTGTCAATAAACAATGAACAATATTCTGCATCAACATCTGTAACAAATTATCATGTTTTTGAATTGCAACCCAGGATTGCTGTGACATTTTGTCACATTTAAGCCTCATATATTCTTATAGAAATCCAAATAAAATACAAATAAACTTAAACATGTTAAATAAAACATAAACCTGCATTAGCAGCATAGCGATAACAGGGTGTTGAAATATTCTCATCTCGGAGCTAATGACACATAGGTGATAAAACATTTGACGCCTTTTCATTATAATGCAATATATTCCATATATTATCGCCCTATTTATGATTAATAAGAAATTATTGTATCTAGATATCTTGAAGTGTGAGGATGAAATAAAAAGCCCTTAAAAACTTCCTTAAGACAATAACTGCTACTCATAACTGATTACACATGAAGAACATTTAAACAACATAATTGGACATCTAATTTGTGAACTTCTTTATCTTTAGTCAAAAATCTAAAAATAACTTAATGTGAATTGCATTCTTAGGATTTCTGTTAAATAAGGTTTTCATGTTTGGCTTTGTGAGGGTTGAATTAATCAATATACACCTTGTCATTAATTGAAGTTTAAGCAAAGTGATGATTTAAGAGATAAGTAGGCTAGATTCTACATTAGTTATGATATTACTCCCTTATTTCCATGACATCAAGGCATTAGAAGGAATATGATGAGTTGATGAGAATAAGATTCTAAAGAATTGTCACAGTTTTACTACAGTTCTGACTTAATTTCAAGATAATCTTCTGGTTTTTGTATCACCACCACAAGTAGTGATATATTGCTACATTCTCCAAGTTCGGCTGGTGGCAGTCGGCTTTCGGCGTCTGCAACAAATGGTATGTGGTGACGCTTGAAAAGTCTTGCAATGTAACAATGGGATGACAGCCCTTAATGGATTTAGATATATCTGTATCAATTAAATCAGTTATCTCGATTCTTTTTTTTCAAAATGTAGAATTAAATTGTTAGGGAAATATCGGGAAACGTGATTCTTAAAAACATTGCATCCACATTTTACAGTCTCGATTTTCTCTATTCCTTCTAATTCCTTTTATGGTGTATGTCAAGATGACAGAATAAGCAGTTGCCCCTAGGAAATATGATATTCTATAATCATTTGTTATTTCAAACATTACACTTCTAGCGATTAGCTTGGGACAAAATTAACAAAATATTGTCAATATGTCTAGAATCAAGACCACGGACATTCCAATATCTGATGAATAACAGACACAATATTAAATGTTATCAATAGAAGACATAAAAGCATGCACTTAACGGCTCCAATGTTTTTCAGGTTTTACTGATAGCAGAAAAGACTGAAATATGAATGGTAATTTCAAAAATTATATCTTTAAAAGGTCAGTTCACAAACGGATTGTGTATCCCAAAAGTTCTATATCTTGATCGTTAACTGTTGTAGCACATGTATTTCTTCACTAAATACAATGTTGGTTCATAAAATATACCAATAGTAATATGGAATACATGTAACTCTTTGTTATTGAGAAATACAATTTTGTCATAGTGAGCCAAACATGGAATAATTCTGTGAGTGATGAAGGAATATTCTTAAAACTTGATCATCTGACAGATAATTCAATAAACAATATCATCTGAAAGTTTCATTATGTCATTTTATTTAGCTAGAGAAAGGTTTGTTTTAACACTTGGAATTGCTTCTGCTCAGCATCCATCGTGGTGAACATGATGAAGGTTAAAAGCATGTCATCTAACATGTCTAAATGTCAAGTTTCTCACTAAGAAAATAACGAATTTATATGGATTTTGAACTGCGTTTATATATTTTATTATCCCAACGAACGAAGTTCGGCCGAGGGATATAGCGAAGTCCTTCGTCGGCCAGTCCGTCCGTCTGTCTGTCTGTCAGTCAGTCTGCCCGGAAGATAACTCAAATACTACATGGCGGTTTTTCTTATTGTTTTCTGGAAAGATGTGTATTGGTGAATAGTTGTACGTAAAGAAAAATTTCCAAGATGGCGAGAATTTTTCGTAAAAACATTAGTTTTTCATTTTCAACCAATGAATGAATATTACTGTTTGAAATTCTGGTGGTACATTTACAACACATTTGTTTCACATAATATTCCGTGTTTTTCAGCTTGACACCCTGGGCCTTATATGGAGGGTCGGGAAAACAGGAATTTTATTCCTCAAAAGTTTATTTTTACAATAATTTTCAAGGTAGTATAGGCCATCATGTACAATATATATATCTTTGCAAACGTTTTTGTTTAGAGTAAACCTACGTGTAAACTATTTGTTTATTATTTACCTAAATTGAAACATTTCTACCCAAATCGGCAAATTACGTGTAAAATGTAAACAAACCAAGAATAAGATGATTCGACAGTAAATTCAGAAGAGTTGAATTTCTGAGTATTTCAGAGTATGAATTGTGACACTTTTTCTGCAGACAAGTACATGTAGACCAAAGTACTTAATTGAATTTAGTCAGTGGTGATCGATGAACTTACCAAAGGATTCCTTTCTCGCTTTGGGAACCCTTTTAGGTGTATTTGTCTCTATTAGTGTAGCAACAATAAATGTCCTGTGGGTAATCATCCGCTCTTTTAGAAAACAAGAAGGATTCTAAATATTGAGAAATTTACAGTTTTGCATATTCTTGCTCCATGGTTACCATGCTCTCGTTAGCCGGTTTCCAGGAATTTCCCCATTACCACTGGACAATACCAAGCGAACGTAACGGTCGTAACCTTCGCATCTAAGATGCCGGACGGTTAGTGTCGATTTCGATATTTTTTGTTTTCATCGAATTAAAACACTTTATATATAGTTGACGTAATGCTTTGATATTTGAACTATATCAGCCACCACGGTTCAACGATATCTTCCACCGCTGAAGTAACTGGGATTTTGGTTTTCTATGATCAGGGGGGGGGATTAACCCCAGAGTTCAAAGACAACCACGCTTATAATGTTAACCTGTATTGAGATGACCATACGTCTCTGATTGGTTAAAATCGACAAACAAAAACATCGAAGTGTAGTGTTTGAAAACTAGACGTTGAAAATTTTACAAGTAATTGTGTCTTTCCCTCCTCTCATAGATGATTTACAAGATAACTGATATGCGATGATGCTGTAACTTTACGAGAGTTCATAATGGAGAGCTAAGATGTCCAGTTTCCGCGTATTTAAAACTAACATGACCGTTACCGCATCATACATTACCAGTTACCTTACCTTGACAAGGTAAGCGATGGAAGTCAAGATATCGTTGAACTGTGACGCCTACAGTACGATATATGAACATATTGACATATTCCACAGTTCCAATGTCATATAGGCCTGATTTGGCTCAAATATCAAAGCATTACAAAATGAAATTATAAGTAAAAATATCGAAATCGACAATAACCGTCCACCATATTTGATGCCAAGGTTACGGCCGAAACCTTTGCTTGTTACTGGAGAGGTTAAGCTTTGCATATATAATCGAAACTGAACCTGTACGTATCACTCGACCATATACAAATTCATGTAGCCTTCTCATATAAATAGTCGTTCAAATCCAGTGTTTGTTTAGACTACACCATAGCGTGTAATGATTATATAATGTCATTGATGCAGTTTTATAGCTGGTTTTCTAATACATATTTTAAACGAGCTCGTTTCGTAAGATTTTTGGCGCTAAATCATGCATGACATACATCATCGTGTTCAGCAAGAATTCAACTGTGCATCGAAATCAAAATTGACAGCATAGTGTTCAATAGACACGAGTAAAATGGTTCCCGTTGACCCAACGTCAAATTTCAAAAACTCCCGTTCTAAACCCGAAACTCTGAGGCTGAAAGAGTATCTGAAGTAGACTAAGCGCGCATAAAACTATGAGCGCTCGATACATTCCTTTGTTAATTTTTGTACTTTGCGTTCACGGTTACGTTGTGAAAAACATCGTTAGCTTAACCTCTCCACTGACCAGTGATTACGGCAAAATGATCGACCGATAGAGACAGTCGAAGGTACAATTTAATTACGTACGTTTGCAATATAGAGTCACTGTCGACGTGAAAGGGGCGTTTTGATTCACGTGATTTTTCATATTTGAAACCACCGTCATCAGATATTTTATGTCAGAACAAATGAGGACTCTCGCGCGACATTGGAAATGATTTCAATCCTAATCGTCACCTTGGTTTAGTATTCCCAGTCGTCACTAATGTGGAGTCCATTTCAATGTTTTATTTTCGTCAGTAAAACCTAAAAAATAAGGATTCAACAGACCACACTGCTGTAATATATGCCACACACGAATGTCATCTGTATATCTTGGATTGGTTGTGGCACAGATGTTGGCCAGATTGTGTTGTAGTAGGATCATAGGCTCAAAGAATTATTAATTGAGCTACTGATTCTACTACAAAA